TGAAAGTCCTTGGTGCCCTCTGAGCTTGGGGGTTACCTTGCAGACATCTCATGACCCAACTAGGGAACATCATCAGGGCTAGAAGGGAGCAGGGGTCTGCAGAGAGGAGGAGGAGGAGGAGGAAGGCTGTGAGATCCTTGGCACTCCCTGAGCTGGGTGGTTTCCTTGTGGGCGTTTCCCTGCCAAACTAGGGAACCTCATCCGTGCCGGAGGGGATAAAAGGGGACGAAGGACGGGACAGAAAGCGGCTCACTTCCATGATCTCTTGGGGTACGGAGTCCGTGCAGTTCTGCAGCACCTTGATGATCTTCTGGTGGTGGGATGGGTTCTCAGCGAAGCAGATCTCCAACCGCCGAAGGAACGTCCGGCTCTTCTCAAAGGCCTGCTGTTCCTCAAACTGGTGGAAGGGAAAAGAAGAAGGGAAAAAAAAAGTTTAGAAAGAGATGCAAGCAGAGTGCGCCCGTCTGCTGGGAACAACGCCGTCGGCTGTGGAGGAAACTGGGGGAGGGCAAAGTCCAGATGGGCAGAGCAGGGGAGAGGGAGAACAAGGGAGAGCGAGTTCAGAGGAAGATCCCACCCCCTCTTCATCCTAGGGCACGCAGGGAAGAATGGAGAAGGGAGCAACGTGGTTTGCATGGCTTACGGGGGAGGAAAGGGCCCTGATTCCCTTCATTAGCCACAGCCTGGGAATGAGAGTTTAAAAGAGATGCAAGCCGAGTGCGGCAGCTGCTGGGAACAAATGTGAGTTCATCTTGTGTTGACTTTGCTTATCTGCGTTCCTGGCGTCTTCCCAACCGGGTTGAGTTATTGCCGCACCTTCACATCTGGAATTCGTTCACCTGCCCTGCGGGACTCATTACCTCATTTTGCCTTGTTTGGACTTTTAAGTTACAGTTTTTGTTGACCATGTTTTGGACTTGATTCTCTGCAGCCAAAGGCTGTTCCTGGGAGAGATTTTCTCCAGCCCAGAAGGTAACCAGGACATTGGGGGCGAAGTTGGCGCTAATAAAGGGACTCCTACTGATGATCTGACCGTGTTGCCTTTGTGCCACGCCCCTTTGGGTCATCACAGTTGCCAAGGGTCTGAATTTTGACCAGAGGACCACGGGGGATGCTACAACGGTCATTAGTGTGAAAAACGGTCCCAAATCTGTTGTAACTTGGAACGAACTGTTGTTAAGTCTAGGGCTACCTGAAGTAGACGGAGCCCGGGTGTGGATCCCAGACATTCTCTCTCTCTCTCCCCTCCCCAGCCTCAACACACACACCCCGCCTTGCCAAGCTGAGCTGCCCACGCTTCCTCCAGCTGACCCACCAATCCGCACTCCAGCGCTTGCTCGGGCAGCAGAAAGGCCGCGAAGTCGGTCAAGAGTTGAGGCCAGTCCTGGAGGAGGATCCGGAGCCGGGCGTAGAGATCGACGGCCGTCTGCTTCTGCAGGTTGTTCTCAAACTCGTAGATGTTGCGGAGAAATTCTTCGTATTTGCCTGGAACGAGGCGCAGGGCTTCGCGTACCTTTGGGGGAAAGCCAAGAATTAGCGCCAGTAGGCGCGGGTGGAGTCGCCAAGATCCCTATTGGGGTTTCCAGCAATGGGTACATGAGGTCCTTGACTTACGACGGCAAGCAGGAGCAAAAATTCTATTCTGTTCTATATTCTACTTTATTCTATATTCTATTCTATTCTATATTCTATTCTATATTCTATTTTATTCTACAGTCTGTTCTATATTCTATTCAATATTCTATTTCTATCCCCTATATTCTATTTTATTCTATATTCTCTTCTATTCTATCCTATCCCATCCCATCCTATCCTTTCCTAATTTTATTCTATTCTATTTCTATCCTCTATATTCTATTTCTATCCTATATTCTCTATTCTATCCTATCCCATCCTATCCTTTCCTAATTTTATTCTATTCTATTTCTATCCCCTATATTCTATTCTTCTATTTCTATCCCCTATATTCTATCCTTCTATTCTATTCTATTTCTATTCTATTCTTTATTCCAATATTCTATTCTATTTTCTAAAAAATATATTCCATTCTATTCCATTCCATTCTTCTTCCTCATTCTATGCTATGCTATTCTTATTCCATCCCATTCCATTCTCTACTCTATTCATTCCTATTCTATTCTATTCTATTCTATTCTATTCTATTCTATTCTATTCTATTCTATTCTATTCTATTCTATTCTATTCTATTTTATTCATGTCAGAAGCACAGAAGCACTCCTGGGTTGAAAGAATTAGCCAGTAACATCACCATGAGGGCTCCTTTCCTGTGCCCGGCAGGAGCTGGAGCGAAGGACGAGAGGCCCACCCTGCCCCGCAGCAGCTCTCAAACGTGGTCTTCCTCACCTCCTTGCCCCAGCCTTCCAACCGCTTAAGCCATGGTTTTCCTTACCCTGTTCAGGTAAGCCTGGGCGAAAGCGAAGTCCTTCTGCTCGCGCAGCGGGTCTCTCTCCAGGATGTCGTCATCGTAAAGGAGGAGGAGCTTGGAGGTGTCTTTGCTGGTGCGGCCCCGCCCCCTCTTGGCCCGGGCTCGCTGGGAGGCCCGGCTCTTGGTGGTGGCCTTGGGGTTCTCTCCTAAGGACAAGGCAAGCCGGAGGGAATCAGGGCCCTTTCCTTCCCCGTAAGCCATGCAACCCACGTTGCTCCCTTCTCCGTTCCTCCCTGCGTGCCCTAGGATGACGAGGGGGTGGACCTGGGTCTTCCTCTGAACTCCTTCTCCCTTGTTCTCCCTCTCCCCTGCTCTGCCCATCCGGATTTTGCCCTTCCCCAGTTTCCTCCACAGCCAACGGAGCCACATTCCGTCTGCTTCTTGACTTCCCGCTTGGAATCAGATTCGAACAGGGGCACGACAAAATGTCTGCAAGAAAACCACCAAGCTTAGAGAGACCCAGGACCCTACAATCTTCCTCTTCCTCCTCCTCTTTGCAAACACTACCTCCTTCTAGCACTGACGACGTTACCTAGTTGGGTCACGAAACATCGGCAAGGAAACCACCAAATTCAGAGAGTCACATGGACCCCACAGTCTTCCTCGTCTTCACAAACCCCACTTCCGTTCTAGCACTGACGACGTTACCTAGTTGCGTCATGAAACGTTTGCAAGGAAACCACCGAACTCAGAGAGCACCAAGGAGCCCTCATTTCAACCCTGAGCTACAAATAGTTGGTCAACTATTAACCATGGTTGGTTGTCCTACTGGACTTCGGAGGAAAGCTGGCCACAAACCAGTTGGAAGTCCACAATCTTCAAGTTACACCACGGGTTGAGAAACATCGATCTAATGCAAACTCACTGTCTCTCTCTCCCTCTCCCTCTCTCTCATCAGGTCTTCTATCATCATCCTCTTTTAACGATGGGTGGAGTATGGGCAACTTAATGACTGGCCCACTGCCCTTCCCGTCACCAATGAGGAGTTTTGTTCAGCAGAGGATACATTCTCACGGTGCTCGGAGAGAGAGAAATATCTGCTTCTATCTAGGATTGAACCTACAGCCTGCTGACTGTGAGGCAAGATTGCTACCTCTAGGCCACCGCGCCACTCTGTTCTAATCAGTGAGTAAATGGGGGCCATATCTCTACCTTTCCAAATATCAGTCTTGTTCATTTTGGGGGGGTAATTTATGCCTCGTCTTCCTTTCGAGACAGGGAAAAAAAACACAATTTTTTTTTAAGGAAGCCCACCTGGAGGGCTGTTGCTGGCCTCCACGGTCGGCGGGGTGCAGGTTGAGGCGAGAGAGGCGGCTGGCCCGTCTCCTGGGCCCGCCACCTCGTTGGCCATTTCGTCCTCCTTCTGTTGGGTCTCCAGAGGTTCCCCTTCTTCTTCCTCCTCCTCTTCCTCTTCCGGCTCCGAGTTCTCTTCCTGCGAGTTCTCCTCCTCCGAATCTCCTTCCTGGCTCAGCCGCCTCTCGGAGGCCAACCAGGTCAGCTTTTCCATGGTTTCCTGAAGACACCCCCAAGAGCACAGCCAAATCATTGCGGGGTCGGGGGACGATCCAAGACACAGACCCTCGCCCCACTTTGCCCTGCACCCCCCCCTTACTCGTTCCTCCAAAGGAAAACAATTACAAGTGAAACTCGGCCTTTTCCCTAGAGAACATCTTGCGATGAAATGAGAGGAGAGGAGAGAAAAGAAAGGAAAGGAAAGAAAGGAAAGGAAAAGAAAAGGAAAAGTAAGGAAAGGAAAGGAAAGAGGAAAGGAAAGGAAAGGAAAGGAAAGAAGGAAAGGAAAGAGGAAAG